TCTTTCACATTGGGACATGAAACTACCCTACACACCACACACCAAGTTTCCTTACTACTGAAAAACATACACACTCAACACATGTCAGCACAAAGGTTGAGCGGATATGAAGTGATTCTTCTATCTGATCCCAACTTGATTATTAAATATTCTTCAGCAAATTCAGGTCCTACTCCAATTTTGAATGCCCTACGGGGGCTAAAGGGGAACAGGATGAAGTGGCACCAGACACACAATGTGTATAACCCACATACAGCAAGACACTTCCCCTAGGTCCGACATGTCAGCTGTGGCTCTTGATGGGGCCCCAGATGTGTTTGTAGCTGGCTCATGTTCTAGGCCAAATGATAGTACTTACCATGCAGGATACGGCATTGTGCAACTTCCTGACAAAATACTCGAGGCAAAGCCAATTCCATATCAGTCAGCCCAAGCAGCTGAACTGATTGCCCTTACAAGAGCATGTCAATTATTTGCAGGACAGGATGTCAACATTTACACAGACTCCAAGTACGCCCATGGTGCTGTACATGATTTTGGGGTCATTTGGGAGAGAAGAGGATTCATTGCTGCTGATGGCAAAACCATATCTCACTCTTCTTTGATATCTGATCTACTCAAAGCCATACAGTTACCAAAAACATTAGCCATTCTACATTGCAGGGCACATACAAATCGCAGAGATCATATTGCCAAAGGAAATGCATTAGCAGATAAGGTAGCAAAGGAAGCCGCATTACAGCAGGGGCCAGTGAGCAGATGCCTTTGCTCACTTCAGGCGTCACAACTACCCCACATGACCAGATGTATGCAGATTTTACAAAAATTTGCTACAAAAATCGATTTAGCAGACTGGAATGGTTCTGGAGCACAACTAGATCCAGCTTCTGGTCTAGTGTGCTTAGAGGGGAAACCATGCATTCCCATGTCAAGTGCCCCATTGTTCATTGCACAGTACCACGGTCTAGGACATAGAGGATGGAAAACGACATGTGAAACATTATTGCAGGATTTTTATATTACAGGCTTATCTAGGTTGGTGAAAGAATATGTTTCTAGGTGCATTACATGTATAAGGAACAATCCACAGAACCCAAAGAAATCACAACACCAGCATCTAGTGTACCCAACTACACCTTTCACCCATTTACAAATAGATTTTACCCACATGCCAAAAACAGGACAGAGGCAAGAGTTTTTTGTTGGTAATGGTGGATATGTTCAGCAGATGGGTGGAAGCATTTGTCACTAATAAAGAAGATGCACAAACTGTAGTCAGAATTCTTACACAGGAGATAATACCCAGATGGAGATGTCCGCTGCAGATAAATTCTAATAACGGACCAGCTTTTGTGGCCAAGGTATGTCAAGATTTGGTAGAAGTACTTAAGATAGATTGGAAGTTTCATATTCCCTATCATCCTCAAAGTTCGGGTATAGTAGAAAGGATGAACAGGACAATTAAGGATAAGTTGAGGAAGGCCACTGGAGGAACCTATACCCACTGGAAGAAGATGTTACCTGCAATTCTAGCAGAGGTAAGAATGACACCTAATAAGACTACAGGGTTATCTCCTTTTGAAATATTAATGGGAAGACCGTTCCCCACTCCTTGGGCTAGACAGCCACTTATGTTAGAAAGAGGGGACCTTGACCTGGTACAACAAGAATATGTGAGAAAATTGATTCAAACTTTAGATCAGATTGAAAGAAATGTTGCTCACACTTCTCCTTTATTTTTTCAGGAACCAACACACCTTTTCCAAGTGGGAGATGTCGTAGTGGTCCGCCAACTCGCTAAAGACAAGAAGCAAAGCTACCCTTTTGGACCACCTACTACGGTGATAGCGGTTACCAGAATGGCTGTTCTGGTGGAGAATTCCCAGTCCTGGATCCATGCTAGTCGAGTGAAGAAGGTGAACCAAACACCTGAGAAATACGAAACGGAAAAAGGAGGTGAAGGACAAGTAGAAAATCCTCGAAGAGCGGGTGAAGTCGGTGAGAAAGACCCTGAAGATGACATTCCTTACTGCCCCTCATGGTGCTTTGAAACTCTGGGTCCTATTGGGCACACTGACTGTGCTCTTTTTCCTGCCAGTATGGATCCTAACTAACTGTATTTATCACCCTGAGGACTTGGGCCTAATAAAAGGTATCTGTGGTCAAGGACTAGTTTTAAATGAGACCCAGATAACCAAAAGTGAAAGAAAGTCAAAAAGAAGTTTTGAAGAGAACAATCCTTTTTCAGGAAAAATGTTGATGATGCAGTTTAAATATGCTTATGCTCAAAAGTCAGGTTATGATAAATGTTGGATATGTAGTAAGTTACATCCTAGCACATATGAAATTCCTCTTCTGGCCGCTCCAGTCAAAATATTTTTGTTAATAAAAGGGAATGTAAGTATTGGTTTGACCAATATTACTTCTAATGCCACCATATCTTTTCCAACTCTGGGAGTCACTCAACTCCCCGATTGGTGTTTTAGACTGGGGAATACTTCCCACAAGGGAAAGGGAATGTGCTCTCAGTCCATATTAAATATATCTGATCCTGGAAGGAGGGATGGAACTTCTTCTGTGAAACTCTGGCAAGTAAATGGTAAAACCCTGAATGAAAGTTTAGAAGGGATACAAGATAATGTGGGGAAAACTATGTTTGGAAAACTTCTTTTTTTTATTTTACACTTGTTGTCACCCCTGAATTTCGCTCTGCAATACAAAAATTGCCGATCTCCTTGGGAAACAATACCTATATCTGTTGTGGTAAGATCTGTTACCCTTGGATACCGAGTAATGTCCAGGCTGGTGCTATGTAGCCCAATTAGTGCCAATTATGGCAGCTATAGACCAAAAGGAACACCAGGTAAAAGCCAGTACATACCCAAAACACACCAACTAACTCTGAGACAGAGAAGGAAACCAAACAAGAAAAGGTAGATCTATTCTCTACAGGGGATAAGGTTTGGTCATGGTTCCCTACTTACACGGGATGGGGAATAACACTCATGAACAATATAAATAATTACACAAACATTATTGATGATATACTGGAGAGGAACTCTAAGGACATAGGGTTGCTAAATACTGAGACCAGAGCTATTAGAAAACAGCTGGAGATGCAAGAATTAGCTATTGAAAGTATGAGTGCTGCTCTGACAGGTCTGTGTGAGATGACAGAGGATTATGAATGTTGTACTTGGATATATAATACCACAATGACTGTTCCAGATTATTATGAAATAATAAAGCAACACAGGGAACAGGTAGATGGTTTGATGGAAGAAGCTAGAGCTATAGGAAAAGATGGATGGACTCCTTTTGATTGGTTAGGATCAGGATTTGGTTCCATCTTTTCATGGATGAAAGGTATCGCTGTAAGCATAGTCATGATATTGTTTTTTGTTTTATCTTTATATCTATGTTTTAAATGCTCATTATATTGCATTGCTAGAGCTACCAAGCCGCAAAATACAAATGAAGGTTATCTGGCTATGTACAAAAAGATGAATGAAGTAAAGAATTGAGATCATGTTCATGATCTCAGAGGGGATTGAAAGGATCTAGATAACTTCCATTTTGTATTATGTACGCCATTTTAAGTATTAAGTTAGCTTTTTGCAGATATATTAGAAGTTTAATGAAACTGTTTTGGTTGTTCAAGGATGTATCAACAGAAGCTAACATGACCCTGACAATGTCTTTGTCTGGCTGTTTTCCAGAAAGCTAGCCAAAACAATTTGTACCAAGAAATGTATATGTTATGTTTCATGTAGTTAGCTCATGATGGAAAGTTACAAGTTACAGTTTTGAAACTCGCTCCCCCCCCCCCTCCCTTATTTTATCTGTAGTCTATATAATCTTATTAATGCCTAATAAACTTTGAACATCTCTGAACATAAACTGCCGTTATTCCCGTGTTCAAGGGGGTTGTTCCCAGAATTCTGCTGATAAACCAGGAATCTCTCCACAGACCGGGGGTCTCTGAGGGGAAAAGAAAATCATTCCTTTCAACCTCCACCTGTAAAACTCTTCAGCTCCTCTTTTCATTTTGGACCTGCCATTTCACCCATGTGACCACAGGAGTAATGGCAGACACTTTATTAACACAAGCAGGATGGGCAATCACAGACCTTTCCACACCAAAAGGTATTTGTAGTAGGCAGTTTTTGCCAAAACAACAGTTTTTATGTGTAGCAGTTATAAGCCTTAGAATTGAAAATTAGAAGCAGCAGAGGCAATGCAGAAAATAAAGTAAGTTACATGCATATAGGCATAAAGAAAGTAAATCTCTCAATGCCATGTAAATTGCCAAAAGTGGCAAAAGTTACATGGCAAAGCTTGCTGTGACTATTCACTAACATACTGCATTGTGTACTAAACCACAAAAACAAATTGCAGAACAGAAAAAAATATCACAATGTCATGTTTCAGAAAATAAAGCAAACAATTTCACACTGTAGCAGGGAAGCATGCAGATTGATTATGGTCCAATGCAGCAATGTGAAAGAGAGAAATGTTACACCTTTTCCAAGAAAAAAAAACTATTTGAGTATGATATTCCAATCACCAAAGCCCTGTATACTGTACTACCCATTAGGCAAGCATTTGTCCTTGGCCACTATATCAGAGGAAGAGATGAGTCATATTTTATTTGGAAAAAAAAACATGTTTTATTTTGTCACAGTCAAGAGCCAGAAATATTTACAGACAGGTAGCACACAATGTAAGTCTGTTTATTAGGCTGCAATGCAAGATAGAGAGACTAGGTGTCAGGAATGGACTGGCCAGCAATGGGTGGGACTCACCTGCCTTTTGATCTGCAGTACCAGGGCTGGCCAGCGGGTGCTCCCAGCAATCAGAGACTCAACCTTTCAGCCAGCTAACACCTGGAACTGATGATACTGGTGTATTTAAGGGATGGCCAGACTTGCAGACTCTGCCTTGGTGTTGTGTTTGTCCTGGGCCCTGTATCTGTCCTGCATCCTGTTTCTGTTCCTTTGCTACCTGTTCTGATCCCTGGCTTGTGACCCTGACCATCCCTCTCTGCCTGACCCTCTGTACTACGCTGCTTGCTACCTGTTCTGATCCCTGGCTTGTGACCCTGACCATCCCCTCTGCCTGACCCTCTGTACTACGCTGCTTGCTACCTGCTGAACCTGGCCTGTGACCCCGACCATTCTCCGCTTGCTCCCCCTGTACCTACCTGCCCAATTGATATTGACTCGGCCTGCCTGACGACGCTTGCTTGTATGTACTGTAACTGATCCAGCCTGACGATGCTATTAGGCCAGTTGACTCGATGCCCGCTGTTGATCCAGATGATCCGGTACCTGATCCGGTGCCCGCTGTCGTGCCAATTGACTCAGAGCCCGCTGTCGTACCTGGTGACTCGGTGCCCACTGCCTTGCCAGATGACGCGGTGCCCGCTGGCGAGCCAAATGACCTGATGCCTGGTGACCCAGTGCCCGCTGTCATACCTGGTGACCCGATGCCCGCTGTCGAGCCAGACGATCCAATGCCTGGTGACCCGGTGCCCACTGCCTTGCCAGATGACGCGGTGCCCGCTGGCAAGCCGAATGACCTGATGCCTGGTGACCCAGTGCCCGCTGTCATACCTGGTGACCCGATGCCTGCTGTCGAGCCAGACAATCCGGTACCTGATGACCCGGTGCCCACTGTCGTGCCTGTTGACTCGGAGCCCACTGCCTTGCCAGATGACGCGGTGCCCGCTGTCGAGCCAAATGACCTGATGCCTGGTGACCCGATGCCCGCTGTCCAGCCAGACGATTCAATGTCTGCCCCAGTGCCCGCGGTCATGCCAGTTGACTCGGAACCCACTGCCTTGCCAGATGACGCGGTGCTCGCTGTCAAGCCAAATGACTTGATGCCTGGTGACCCGATGCCCGCTGTCCAGTCAGACGATCCAATGTCTGACACAGTGCCCGCGGTCATACCAGTTGACTCGGAGCCCACTGCCTTGCCAGATGACGCGGTGCCCGCGGTCGAGCCAAATGACCTGATGCCTGGTGACCCGATGCCCGCTGTCCGGTCAGACGGTCCAATGTCTGACCCAGTGCCCGCGGTCATACCAGTTGACTCGGAGCCCACTGCCTTGCCAGATGACATGGTGCCCGCTGTCGAGCCAAATGACCTGATGCCTGGTGACCCGATGCCCGCTGTCCAGCCAGACGATCCAATGTCTGACCTAGTGCCAGCGGTCATGCCAGTTGACTCGGAGCCCACTGTCGTGCCTGGTGACTCGGTGCCCGCTGCTCCGCCTGGGGGTCCAGCGCCCGCCGCTCCACCTGGGGGTCCGGCGCCCGCCGCCCCGCCTGGGGGCCCGAGACCTGTCGCTCCGCCTGAGGGCCCGAGACCTGTCGCACCGCCTGGGGGTCCGGCGCCCGCCGCTCCGCCTGAGGGCCCGAGACCTGTCGCTCCCACCTGGGGGTCCGGTGCCCGCCGCTCCGCCTGAGGGCCGAGACCTGTCGCTCCACCTGGGGGTCCGGCGCCCGCCGCTCCGCCTGGGGGCCCGATGCCTGTAGCCCCGCCTGGGGGCCCGATGCCTGTCGCCCCGCCTGGGGGCCCGATGCCTGTCGCCCCGCCTGGGGGCCCGATGCCTGTCGCTCCACCTGGGGGTCCGGCGCCCGCCGCTCCGCCTGTGGGCACGAGACCTGTCGCGCTCCCCCGGGGTCCGGCGCCCGCCGCTCCGCCTGAGGGCCCGAGGCCTGTAGTTCCGCCTGGGGGCCCAATGCCTGTCGCCCCGCCTGGGGGCCCGATGCCTGTCGCCCCGCCTGGGGGCCCGAGGCCTGTCGCTCCATCTGGGGGTCCGGCACCCCGCCGCTCCGCCTGAGGGCCCGAGACCTGTAGTTCCACCTGGGGGCCCGATGCCTGTCGCCCCGCCTGGGGCCCGATGCCTGTCGCCCCGCCCGGGGGCCCGATGCCTGTCGCCCCGCCCGGGGGCCCGATGCCTGTCGCCCCGCCCGGGGGCCCGAGGCCTGTCGCCCCGCCCGGGGGCCCGAGGCCTGACGCCCCGCCCGGGGGCCCGAGGCCCTGACACCCCGCCCGGGGGCCCTGTGCCTGCCGCTCCGCCCGGGGGGCCCGCTGCCTGCCGCTCCGCCCGGTGGCCGCTGCCTGCCGCTTCGCCTGGTAGCCCGATGTGCCTCTGCCCGGGGTCCTGCCCGATGTGCCTCTGCCCAGAGTCCTGCCCGATGTGCCTCTGCCCGGAGTCCTGCCCGATGTGCCTCTGCCCGGAGTCCTGCCCGATGTGCCTCTGCCCGGAGTACAGCCCGATGTGCCTCTGCCCGGAGTCCAGCCCGATGTGCCTCTGCCCGGAGTCCAGCCCGATGTGCCTCTGCCCGGAGTCCAGCCCATGTGCCTCTGCCCAGTGTACCGCTGCCCGGAGTTCCGCCCGGTGTGCCAGTCTTTGATATCCCGCCAGTTACCAGACCCGGGCGGTGGAACATTTTTCCCAGCTAGGACTGTTTGGAGCGTCCTGAGGCCACTCCTTGAGGGGGGGTACTGTCAGGAATGGACTGGCCAGCAATGGTGGGACTCACCTGCCTTTTGATCTGCAGTACCAGGGCTGGCCAGCGGGTGCTCCCAGCAATCAGAGACTCAACCTTTCAGCCAGCTAACACCTGGAACTGATGATACTGGTGTATTTAAGGGATGGCCAGACTTGCAGACTCTGCCTTGGTGTTGTGTTTGTCCTGGGCCCTGTATCTGTCCTGCATCCTGTTTCTGTTCCTTTGCTACCTGTTCTGATCCCTGGCTTGTGACCCTGACCATCCCTCTGCCTGACCCTCTGTACTACGCTGCTTGCTACCTGTTCTGATCCCTGGCTTGTGACCCTGACCATCCCTCTGCCTGACCCTCTGTACTACGCTGCTTGCTACCTGCTGAACCTGGCCTGTGACCCCGACCATTCTCCGCTTGCTCCCCCTGTACCTACCTGCCCAATTGATATTGACTCGGCCCTGCCTGACGACGCTTGCTTGTATGTACTGTTATCTGTGGGTGGTTGGTTGGGTTTGTTTGCACTGTATTATGTTTAGTATTGCACTGCGTTTATGTTTGTATTGTTAGTGTTAATAAATTACATTGTTAATCACATATCTGAAGTCTGCGTTTCCCTGCTTCAGTCACACACCTCTGGTCATACCTGGGAGCCCTGACACTAGGCAGGTTTTATCCTTCTAAAATATAAATGAAAGTGTGTCAATTCTCAGAGTCACAAGCCAGACAAAAATGAACTGTTTAGCTGGATCTTATGCACTCCTTATGTACTAATATTCTAATACTGTAGACCTATACTAAGAAGTTGATTCAGACCTCTTGAAGCCTTTTGGCTATTCTGCTAATCCAGAGGGAGATAGCAGGTAGAATAGATGGTAAAATATAGCTATTTTCTAAGTTTGAAGACTGAAAAAATGGAAATGTTTTAAAGGACACCTGCTGTATAAGTCTATATTGAATAGACCACCATTTTTGGAAAGAGAGACAAAAATCAGATTACACCTTGACATCTAAAATTTATCTCTTCTTTTAAAGACTAAACTTGTACAAAATGACATTTTTGTAGCACAATTCTGAAAAGCCTGTATGGAGAGGCCATCATTTCTTAGCATTTGAGCAAGCATGTAGCTCCCATAGAAAAAAGTTTTTTTTCTTACAGGCAATAATTATGAAATAACACACAGGTTTGCACTGCAGCTAGAAAGCCTGTTTGAGCAGGCTGCAAATTCTGAGAGATTAAGCAGGCATTTGGCATCTAGGAAAAACAAATACTTGTGTTTGTACATTGATGATGGAAACAGCATACAGGTCTGCTTCAGAGTTAGAAAGCTTGTTTGGACAGACCAAAATTTATGCAAGATTGAAAGGGCATTTAGTACCCATACCGATGATGAAAATTGGGTTTTTTGCACCATCGGTAGAAAACCTGTTTGGTCAGGCTCCAATTTCTAGAAGACTGAGCTGGAATTTGAGCTCTGTAAAAAATTTTAGTGTCTCTTTTTGGATACTGATGATAGAAATAGCATACAGGTTTGCACCACAGCTAGAAAGCCTTTTTTGGCAGGCACATTGTGAAAAATTGAGCAGGAATTTTAAATCCATAAAATTTGGCTTTTTGGTGTTGGTGGTGCCCATACAACATAACCTGCAAAAAACCTTGGGGTCAGCCTGTGAACAATGTCCATGAAAATATTAATTATTTTGTCTGTCGCAAACCCCTCCGCAGCACAAAATGTACATTCAGAGAGCATGCTGGCTGCATGGCAGCCCAGTAGCCAAATTTCATACTGGGCAAGCTCTAGCTGGTGGTCCTTCCCCATTTTTTATCCATTTGGAGGGCCTCTATATCCGCTCTTGCCTGCAGATAATCAGCCACCATGTGATGCAGTCAATGCCAATAGATGTTTATAAAGGCATTGCTCAGGCAGCCATCCCTGTCACTAATATTTAGTTCAGCAAAAGAAAAAAGGCTTGGAGACACTTTGTCCATGCAAAGTTATCTTGCCAGCCTATAAAAAATGAGTGACAAAGTTTCCTCTGGCATTCTTCAGATATTGCATCCTCTGCCCCCTCTGTGAGGGCAGAATGAGCTCTCTAAATTTCTCTGTGTAACATGGATGAAGCAAGGTAACTAACCAGTAATGGTTCCTCTTCTTGTTGCCATAAATTGTGGGGTCCTTACATGGGCTATGGGGCAGGAGGGAGTCACTGCACCACAAATTACTGGAGGTGAAGGAACCTAAATCCTTGTGTACCCTAAGCATGACGTGTCCCTCCTCCTGGCCATGTACTACTCCTGAGGTTTGGAAGACATGAAACCCACCCCTGGAAAGCTTTCATATGTTATCTTAAAAACTTAATTCCCCCACAGAAATCATACACCTCCTCCTTTGCCTGCTCTGGCCTCACAGAGATAGTGTTTGGATAGAGTAAGCTCTGGGATGCAAAGAAATCCTTCTCTTCCACATACAGTACTTCTCTACCTTTAGTGTCCAGTCTATGATGCCATACAATAGTAATACAGCTGTTACAGTGTTGCAGATGCATTCATTGTCATGACTCACCATTCTTGTCACCTCTTCACATGGTGACAATAAAGTACACAAAACCCATATTAGGAGCCTGTCCTCATTGCATACTTACACAGGTACTCATTGATGGCTCTCTGCTGCAAGTGCTGATGCAGCATGGCCAGAGTTGAACTCCCCCCTGATGGGCCTGTCACAGATCAGACAGTTTGTGAGCAGATGGAATTCCCACTAAATTTCACACAGCTGAACACTGTCTAAGTAGGACCTCCTAAAATGGCTACAGACTTTTCTGACCTGCCTGCCTCAGAATATCTTGTAATCCAAATACCTATCCAGTGACTACTGAACCACCAGATTGAGCAGGCAAGGCATGTATGCCAACTTTCCCTGTTTGAGAGTGGCCATTGTTGCACACCACCATACCTGTCAAAAATTGCCATGTGGGTTAACCACCTCTGGGTCTGCCCTCTGGCACAATCACTAAAAGTTGTAAGGATCATGGGTGGCTAGACAACCTCTGGAGTGTTCTGTCCTGCAACCTCCCAGGTGCCAGCCAAGTGAGCCATGAATGATATATAGCTTTCCTGCACATATATACTGGACCACGTGTCTATGGTCATGTGGACTTTGTTGGACTATTTTTAAAAATATATTGGTTTCATTAATGTCTCATAATATGTAGCATCTACTAGACCTCCTATCTCTTTTATTTTT